CAAAAACTATAGAGTCAGTGTTAACTTTTCTGAACTTTTACAGCCTCTGTTACAACAATTTGGAGTGTGTTACATTTAGTTCACATAAAACAAATAGAATTAAGTTCATCAAGTTTTTATCGCATATTCATTATTCATATCTTCATATTTCCCAGGAACTTGTTTTAACCACCCCAGTATAATTTATTCTGTTCAGACTTAAGGCTGCATTTATTTCCCGGTGTATTGGCTTTTCCTTCACTGTTGCGTAGCAACGCTGATGTCATCGCTGTTTTTCAGGTGCATGGTTCAAATTCAGCCAATGGGATTCATCATCAGGAGTCCAGAAACCCTCAAGATGTTGGTATTTCCTTCAAATCTTTTCTTATTTATTGATATGATTCCAACTTGTCAGTTTTAAAACCTTTCCTCCCTTTTGTTTGATGTTCTCCAGGAACAACACTGATCTGAGCAAAGCAGCACGACGTAACAACAAAACAAAAAAAGACGTTTCTCCTGATCTTCTGCTGCGACACAGAGAGCAACATTTCAGTTCACACTCGGAACCAAAACAGAAAAATCTGAATTTGAAAGTGTCGTTGCAGGAAGCATCTAATAGCCAATCACGTTAAAGTTGTAAAAACATGTTGAAGTAGATGGACGTGAACATGACACATGGTACACAGTGGTACAAACTGTTGGGAACGACAGATGAAACAGATGAAACCTGTGAGGCTTCACAGTCAATGGAACCGTTTGACAATTCAGAATCTGGATCATCCGTGGAGAACCACACCAAGAACTGGGTCTCAGTTGCTTTGTTTCTTTTATTTATTACTTTTAATTTTTTTATTGCTCCTCTGCCTCGGTGATGTTAATACAAATAATAATCAAACGTGCTGCAGCTGAGAGGTTTCCTTCAGCAGCACTAGGGAGGGATTATGCTGACATCACGCGTCACCTGACCAGAGGCCCGACGTCCTAACTCATCACGCTGTTCACATCTTTGCTTTCGCGTAGCAGTATGTTGACAGAGTGATAACAGTGAAGTATTTTCTCGTTCATTCACATCTAATTGACTTTATTCCACCTTAAACCTTATCAGTGAAAATGTGCCGGTGATGTTTACTGTGGATTATGCATTAAATGTTCAAGGTCCAGTGTGTAGGTTGCACCAACTTTT